ATTGAGCGGCGGGGCTGCTGCGGTTGCCGACCAGCATAGACTGCTGGTTGTTAAGCGTGTGCCTCGCTTGCAAAGGCTGCCTTGATGAAGTGTGAGACAGCACTTACGGAGGGACGCGGGCAGGCATTCTCGCTCCATCTTCCGCTCACAGTGCCGCTCTTTATGCGCCTGACATTTGCTCGCTGGAAAGGCCCCGAAAGTCAGGGGGAAAGGAAAACATTGCCCGCAGCGGGGCCGGAGCGGCGCTGGGAGGAGTGCTGGGCCGTGCTGGGCTGGGCTGGGCTGAGTCGGGGCTGGGATGCTCGTCCGCCCCGGCCTCACCGCCCCGCTCTTCCCCGGGGTGACCCCTTCACCTCTCGGCAGCTCTCCGGCTGCCTTCCCCTGCCGGCACCGCCGCTTCCTGCCAGGTGTGCTCCGCCTGGCTCCCTGCCTGGGAAGCCCTGGCCATCCTGCCCCTGCCTGCTCCACGGGCGGGCTGGCAGCACCGCCAGCTCTCCTACCTGCTGCTGCTGCTGCTGCACGTCCCCAGGGGCGTGTGTGGTAGGGGGTAACGGGGACAGGCCCCTTAGATGCCTGCCGCTGGGGTGCACGGTGCTAACTACAAGCTGGGGTGAGCACATGCAAGCGGTTCCAAAGGGCTGGAGGAGCTGGGAAAGGGCATTGGGGTTGGGTGTGGGGCAGGTCGGGGTGCTTTGGGGCAGCTCTGCCCCAAGGGACAGTGTGACTGCCCCACCGGGGAGGTGAGGTGAGAAGCCAGGCTGGTGTGTCCTGCTCCATCTTATGGGTTTGGTCCGCCCCTCTGCCTGCCCTTGACCCTGTCCAGGAGGGAGCAGTTCAACCCTCTTCACCTCTGTCCTCCTGCAGGCAGATGCTGGTGGGATCCCTTGGCCCAATGCTGTTGGCACTATGTGAACGGCTACCTAACGTGAACTCATCTACCTGGATCCCACAGTGGATCCCACCCCAGTGCTGGCATGACCATGGGCAGACATGCCCAGTGAGCATCCAGCGAGCCACGCGAGCCCCATTCCCAGGAGTGAGCACAAAGCTGGAGGCAGGGAAGAGAGCGCCGAGGGCAGCCTGGCCACAAGGCACAGGAACGCCCCGGCCATGGAGCCCTTCCCCTGCCCGCGGCGGGCTGCCACAGCATCGCCAGGCTTCGCCAGCGCGGTGGCAGCCATGCCCATCACCAGAGAGCTGGTGCGCCGTTCCCAGGCCGCCATTCCACCACGCCGCTTCCGCAGAGCCCACTGGTGGGGGGAGCCCGGGGAAGCCATGTTCCCCCCCCGCCCCCCCGGCCCACACCCCTTGGCTCCCAGCCCCGGCAGGAATTATTAAGTGTGCCCCTGTGGAGCATGTGCTGAGGCTGGCCACGGGAATGTGGGCAGATCTGACATACAAGCCACAGCAGCCAGGCTGTAATTTCCAAACAGGCCCTGTTCGCTCTGTTTTCCAGTTAAAAATATATTAAAAAATAGGAATGTGGGGTTTGTAGCGAAGAATGTTGGTAACCACTTCGAACGTCTGGTGTGATAATGAAAGGGTCAGTCCCCAGCTTTGAGCACGACCGATTTAGACTCTGGTGCTTGGCACCGGTGCGGGGGCCCAGCACGGTCCAGCCTGCCTGCAACCCCCCCCTCCCTGGGCCTGGGCCTGGGCCAGGGGAAGGTGATGCTTCTGTGTTGGTGGCACGGTGCCGGGCTGGGTGACGTGCCCCTCCTGCTCACGCTGTCAAGAGGACATCCAAATTGCCATCTCTTATGGCCTCTTGAGAAGGGAGTCTGGGCAGGGGTGGGTGAAGGCAGGACACCTGGGAGATGGATGCGGTACCCTGCCCACCCACTGGCCCCGCCACCCCCCCCATGCTGGGGTACAGCTCCATAGCAGAGTCGCCCAGGATGGGGGGCACCGAGCGAGGCTGCAGTCCAGCTCCCCAGGAGCTGCTCCCCCCACTGCATGGCTGCTGGCGAGCACGGCTTGCTCCCAGCGCGAGGTCAGGCGCCTGCCCCCCTTCTCCGGGCATCCCCCCCACCCCGGCTGGGCTAATCGCAGTTCAGGGTGTGCTGTGGAGCCTCCCGTGCCACTGCCGCAGCCTTGAGTCGCTCCTGATACCGGGGCATCCCACTTGGCCTTGTGGCCAGGTAGTCATAACACGCAGGGCGAGCTGTGCCAGCGCCCTGGCCATCACTCTCCCCGGCCCAGCGAGCCACGTGGGGGCAACCCAGCCAGCACTCCCCCGGGTGCCATCTCTCTACTCGTGCTGCTCCCCAGACCTCTGGCATCATGTTTATCCCAGAGATGGATAAACCAGAGGAAAACAAGTCACCGGAGGCCAGAGCTGACGTCGCAGTGGGGACAAGAAGTTGGTTGCGGCGGGGTTCTGCTTGGGGATGTGCTGGGGCAGTGGGGCAAGGAGGGAGGACAAAGTCACCGGTGCCCAGGGCTTGTCCCCCCACCCAGCCCCTTCTGGGGACACCTCCTTGTCCCTCTCAGCCTCCGGGGCCATCAGGTGGCCGGTGGCTGGCACAGCATGCTCTGCTCCCTGCTGAGTCACGGCTCTGCAGGGAAACGCTTCCAACTCTGGTTATAAACCCATTTCCCTCCGGAGCTGTGAAGCGTGGCCCTCCCATCCCGGCGTGGGCCAGCTCTGCCAGCCCGATGGCTCTGAGCCCACGGGCTCGAGCCTCCGGGAAGGGCAGTGGCAGGAGGTGGCCAGTGACTCCCAAATTCCACCCCGGGCTTGCTGGAGCTGGGCCCTTCCCAGAGGCATGGGCAGTGGATGCCCTGCACCTGAAGACCCCTGTGCCACCCCAGATCCCCAGTCCCTCCCCGGGGGGCTGGTGGTACTGGGCACTCTTGTCCCAGTGCTTCCCCAGGGTGTCACCCCAGTGGGTGCCTGTGTGCAGGTCTTGGGGACACCGGATGGTTACAGGCACAGTGGGCACTCCATAGCATTGCCCCATCCCCAGGGACACCATGGGGATGCTGTCCTGGCTCTGGGCAGCTGGGGGTGAGCAGCTGCCCTGCCTGGATCCTCACTTGGATGCTGGGAAGAGGACCAGCCTGAGCAGCCCCGGGGCACGTCCCAGGTACCGTCCTGCACTGGAGCCCATTGCAAACCGTGTCCTGGCTGGGTTGGAGCAGAGGAGGGTGGGCAGCACCCTACACCTGGGGGCACAGCCTGCCCCATCACTCTGGCACTCCCCAGGGACCACTTGGTGGCAGGAAGATAGGGTGGGCAGCAGGGAAGTGGCACCCAGGGCCGAGTGGCTGCAGAGGACTCCCCCGCTCTCCAGGGGCATTGACCCACGCAGTGCTATCTAGTACACTTTGCTCACTCCACCACCGTTCCTGGCTTTCCTGGGAGCTGCTGTTTGCTTTTCTCTGAATTATGACTCCAGCTTGTGCCTTTGATCTAGGCTGTCGGCCACCCGTTGCCAGCCCCTCTCCTGCCTTTGAAGTGCAGTCGCCTTCCTGGCCTCGGACGCTGCTTTTGCAACCTCAGGTGCAGCCCTGGCCCCTTAAGCCCATGGCTGAGACATCCAGGGTGAGAGCATCCCCAGTGTGTCTGAGGTGCTCAGCATCCCTCCTCCTCCGTGGGACCTTGGGATGGGCCAGCATAGCTCAGGGCTCCGAGGCCAGGCAATGGAGGTGTGTTTGCCCGGTGGCAAGCACTCCTGGGGATGCTTGCAGGGTGCTGGGACCAGAGCATCGCTCCCTCCTGTGGCAGTGGGCAGGGACACAGGAGGTCCTGCGCAGAAGCTGGCCAAAAAAGCAGGCCCCCGCGTCCTACAGATAAAGGACCTTCCATGCCTGTGGCTCCAGCAGAAGGGATGAGACCTTTCTGGGCACCATCCAACCCATCCTGGCATCAGCTCTTCACTCCCTCCCTGTCCGGCGGGGAGCAGCGAGGGGGGCTCAGCCCGCCCTTTCTGCCACTGGGCAGCTGGGGCCAGGCTTTGGACTCTGGCCTTGAGTGGGTCCGAGCCTCCCCATCCCCTCCCCGCTCCCCTGGCCCAGAGAGGATCCAGCCTTATCTGTTACACTTTGTTCTCCTGCTGTCTGGGTGTGGAGCGGAGCAGAGATTAGTGCGCGGACCTTTGGCACACACACACACACTCTCACACGCAGCCACACAACCAGCCACGCACGCACGCAGAGCCACGCTCATCTACACACAGCCCCTGTGCACACACGCATACTCACCAGTACTTGTGCATTCCCACTGTGCCCTGCACATCCCTGTGCAACTCCCCCCCCACAGGGCACGCATGCCTTTCCCCTTCTCCGCAGGTGTTTGTTTTCTGGCCGTGTGCTCCCTTAGATTCCCAGCTGAGCACGGTGCTTGCCCAGCCTGACAGCCTCCCTGTCGTGACAGTCAAGGACCCCATGCTCATTGGCACAGCAGGGAGGGCGAGGGTGGCAGCTGGGGCTGCGGGCAGGAGGGTGGGGTGGCTTCCCTACATCAAGCCTGAATTGAGAAAAAAACATGTCTGCAGGGAGGTGGGAGCTGCTCTGGCAGGCTGGGACCAAACCCAGGCATCCCTCGTCTTGCTGCCGCATCGTCCCCACTTGCCAGTGGGGCCACCGGGCATGGCTTGTCCTGCCCACAAAGACATCGCTGGTGGCAGCTGTGGCGGGCAGAGGTTCCCCGTCCCCACCTCATGCCGAGGTCCTGCCCCTGCCCAAGGTTCCCTGTCCTTATCGGCCAGCCACGGCTCCTGCCAGGGAAGCCACAGCCCTTCCTGTGCGATCTTATCTCTGGTGTTTCATGAATGATTCTCAAGCCTCAGCAGCCTGAATGGGAAGGCAGCCCACTGGCCAAGGCAGGTGTGTGTGTGTGTGTGTGTGCGTGTGTGTGTGCACGTGTGTGCATGGCTGGGGAGCAGAGGGATGCACTACCCCTTCTCCACTGCCCAGCCCCCTCTGTGGCCCCGTGGCAGGGTGTCCTGGCAGGCGGTGGCCTGGCAGGGTGATGGTGACTCTGCTCTCCCCTGCAGAACCTGCCCCGGATCTGCGGTGCGGGAGAGGGGCAGGCGTTCACCTCTGCTCTGCAGCAGCTCTACACGGCGGTGACACAGCAGGAGGCCAAGCAGGCTCGGAAACGACAGCACTCGGGTGAGGAGCTCCCTGGCTGTGGGATGGGGAGAGCCCAAAGCACCCGACCACCCCATCCCAGGGAAAGGGGAGTGGGACCCCGGGCACAGCTCACCCCACTCAACAGTCTCCCCCTTTGCATTCTCCCCATGGTGCTCAGGCACCATTCCTGGTGTGGGTTTGGGTGATGCCCCGTGCTCCTTCATCTCAATCCCAAATTGCATCTCTTTCTGCTGGTAGCAGAGGACACCGAGGATCCAGCGCCTGCTGCAGAACCAGCAGGACACCCCCATCCACCACCTCCATCCCAGGAGGATGAAACAGTGTCTTCCAGTGAGAACACCACGGTGAGTGCAGCTCTAGAAACAGCTTCTCTGTACCAATGGCAAGATGGGTCCTGCACCTCCTTTCCCTCCTTGCATCCCAACCCTGTACCCCTCCAGGATGGGCTGAGGTTCTTAGCCCATCCTCCCCGGCTGGAGGGTGAGTGGGTCTGTTGCACACATGTGTGTGGCTTGCACATCCCCACAGGGGTGGGGAGGTGTCACTGCTTGCACAGGTGCACGTGTCCTGCGTGAACCCCCAGGGGGACTGACACTGCCTCCACTTTGATTCCAGCCGGCCTCTTCCCCAACCCAGAAACTCCGGCTGCCCGTGGCCAAGGCCAAGCCGAAGAAGGCAAAGGGGCTCTTCAGCTAAAAGGTCACTGCTGCCCACCCTGAGGGTCTCCACTCCCCTCAGCATCTAAGAGAGACAGTGCAGAGCATCCATGCATTCTCTGCCTCCCTGTCTGCATCTCCTGGCGGACCCTGGTCTGGGACATGGTGCCCTCCCAAGGTGCCTCCAGCTGGGATGATGGGGCATCTCTCTTCAACAGTGTCTCAGGAACCTCTTTTCTGCCTCTTCCCTGGTGTAGAACTTGCCTGTGCTGCCCCATGATGGAGCCAGTGCTGGACCTGGGGGGAGTGGGAGGGATGCTGTTGGGTGGGTGTGGGACAGCAGGGACTCCAGCAGGGCCATGGGGTTTGTCTGCTCTCACGTGGGTTTGAAATAAAGGGTTGTGTCTGAGTGAGATCCCTCTCCTCCTGCTCTGTCACAGCTGGGCCCACAGTGTCCAGGCAGGGGTGCAGCTCCCAGTGCTGCTGGGTCCCCCTCTGGCTGGTCCTGCTGTCTTGCAGCAGCGCTGGCTGGTGAGGAGGTGACAGCAGATGGGGCAGGATGGCAGCTCCCAGCTGTGCCTCACCCTGAGCATGTGGGGTGGGGTGGGGTGTGCATGAGGGGACCCCAGATGCTTGAGGGCCTGAAGCCCACTTTCTCCTTGTCCCGTGCTGGACACACACCATGTGCTGGTTCCTGGAGCCAGGTGAAGCGTCTGTAGCAGCAGGTGGGCAAAGGCAGCCTGGCTGTGCCAAGGGCCACCCTCTGCATGCAGGCAGCTCTGCCAGGGTTAGTGACCAGGTGATTTAGGGTTAATCCATCCTCTGAGGCAGGGCACAACCAAGCCACTAACATAGAGAAAGCTCCCAGGCTTGGGAGCAGCCCTGGAGCTGGTTAGAGATGGACACAAAGCACCACCTCTGCCCCTCCACACGCTAACTGTCCATCCTTCCATCTGTCCATCCCTCCATCCATCCATCCATCCATCCATAATCCATCCATCCTTTAATCCCTGCTCTCCTCTTACAACTCTTGTCCCCACATGATTCCTTTGGGGCTGGTACCCCGCTCCTGTGCCCGAGCCAGGTCCTAAGGTGGCAGGCAGAGAGCCAAGCATCGCTGCTGCCGCTCTCCTGGGGCAGGGACCCCTACCCCTGGCTGCCCTGCTCCCCGGGGCCGGGCTGGCCGCCGTCACGCTGCCTGCTCTCCCGAGCAGCAAAGGGGGAAACAAAAACATCCGGAGCAGCCCCTGTGTCTGTGGAAGGGGAATGAAAGGGCCTTTGCTGGGCCGCGGCCGGCCAGTCCCAGGGTGAGAGCAGCCGGTTGCTTTTTATATTTCCTCTCTGAGGGAGCAGCGTGCGGGGCAGGGTGGGTGGTGGGAAAGGGAAGCCATGGGATGGGGAGCTTGTGCCAACAGCCGTACCTATGTATCCTGCCTTCCCCCGCCTGCCAGCATCTTACCCTGGCAGCTTTGGGTCTACCTGATGGCCACTTGTCCCCAAGGAGGGTCCTGCTGCCAGCTGGGTAGGACCAGGGCAGCAGTTTAGCAGTATTACGTTTTATGTGTCTTCTGTCACCAGGTTGTCCCCTGGTGCAACCTCTGCTCCACCCAGGGGGGGTCCATCTCTTGGCCTAGGAGCTGCTCCTTTCCAAGCCAGGTCCCCCAGCTCCCTGCAGGGTCTGGAGTTCATGCTGCTCCCCTGTACAAACTGGGATATGCAGGAGGCGAGTTTATCACCCCAGCAAGGGCATCTGGCTCAGCTGTCTCCTTTGGTGTTGAGGGGCAATCACATGGAGGGCGTTGGTTGATGAGAAGCTCAACAAGAGCCAGCAGTGTGTGCTCACAGCCCAGGTGGCCAACCGCATCCTGGGCTGCATCAAAAGCAGTGTGGCCAGCAGGCTGAGGAGGTGATTTTGCCCCTTTGCTCTGCTTTGGTGAGACTCCACTTGGATTATTGCATCCAACTCTGGGGCCACCAACATAAGAAGGACGTGGACCTGTTGGAGCGAGTCCAGAGGAGGGCTACGAAGATGACCAGAAGTCTGGAAGACCTCTCCTGTGAAGACAGACTGAGAGAGGTGGGGTTGTTCAGCCTGGAGAAGAGCAGGCTCCAGGGAGACCTTACAGCAGCCTTCCAGTACCTGAAGGGGGCTACAGGAGAGATGGGGAGAGACTCTATCAGGGAGTAGAGTGACGGGATGAGGGTTAACTGTTTTAAACTGAAAGAGAGTAGATTTAGATTAGGTATTAAGAAGAAATTCTTCACTGTGAAGATTGTGAGGCACTGGAGCAGGTTGCCCAGAGAAGTTGTGGAGGCTCCATCCCTTCAAGAGTTCAAGGCCGGGTTGGATGGGGCTTTGAGCAACCTGCTCTAGTGGGAGGTGTCCCTGCCCATGGCAGGGGGGTTGGAACTCAATGATCTTTAAGGTCCCTTCCAACTCTAACCATTCTATGATTCTATGACACATTCCCACCCCAGCTGTGCCAGTGGCTGGTGGGCTCTATAGGGGAGCGGGTGGTGCAAACCAGCACCTGCACCCCAATGTCATCTCAGCTGCTGGCTGCACCCGGGCCGTGTCTCTGCTTCTCCCTGAGGTGCTCAGCTCAGGGGAGCCTCAGCCAGCCCCAGGGATGTTGCAAAGGTGTTGCTCAAGAACCCTGTCCCACTGCAGAGCAGGTCCCCAGGTGAGCCCTGTGGCTCTGTGCCCAAGGGGCAGGTGAGCACCCCAGTGGGCATGGGCTGGGGGTACAGATCTGCTGCAGGGACAGACCCTGCTCCGCTCACCCTGCTTGCTCCCAAAGCAAGGGAAGGTGGGGCAGCAGGAGCACAGACAGAGGGTAGATAAAAGCAGGAGAGTGAAGACATCAGTGGGAAAAAGAGCTCTGCCGAGGCCCCCCGGGCCACCGCAGGGACCCCAGCCCCCAAGACTCCAGCACGGGGCCACTGGTGCCTCCCTGGCCCAGGTTGCCGCCGGCTCCGGGGAGTGTCACCACTTATTGTCCCATCCTGTCCCGCTGGGGTCTCCTTCCCTGTCCCCACCCCCTCCTCCCTGGAGCCGGCTGGATTTGAGCTCCCGACACACATTAAAGGCCACAAGTTCGGCCTCGGCCTCCATAAATTTGATTCCATAAATATTAGTTTTCGCAGGGTTTAATGAAGCCGTTATGCCGGGCACGGCCCAGCACCCCGACCCGTGCCCTTAATAAGGGCTCTGTGGCCTCGATTAAAGGGACCTTTCAATCGCTGTCAAGTATTTTTAGAAAAGGAAAAGAAAAAAAAAAAAAAAAAAAAAAAAAAAAAAAAAAAAAAAAAAAAAAAAAAAAAAAGAGAGAGAGCGAGCGAGAGAGGAGGAGGAGAAGAAGACGACCAAGGCAGCGAATAGCGAGAGGAAAATCCCAAACCCGTCCGGTGCAAAAATAGAGAAATAGCACCACCTAGACTGCATCGCCCGGCTCCGCCGCCCGCTCGCCCGCTCGCCCAGCGCGGCTCCCGGCTCCGGCCAGCCCCGTGCCCCCCGGCCCGGGCAGCCTGGGGAGCCCAGCGAGGGGTCTGCGGGATGCTGCCCTCCCGCTCGGGGCAGGCACAGGGGGACGCGGTGGTGGGGAAAGCCCAGGTGGGGAAGAAGGAGGGACCTGGGCACCGTCGGGACACAGGCAGGAGCGGTGCGTGGTGGCCGGGAGTCACGGCAGTGCCTGAGAGTGGCTGAGGGCTGTAGGAGATGCTGAGATGCAGGGATGGATGTGCATCTCCCTACGCTCCCTCCGCTGGAAGGTAATTCCTCCCCGTGACTCCCTGCGGCAACAAGTGTCCCTTCCCACCGGCTCCCCAAGCAGAAGTTCTCCCCCACCGCAAGCAGAAATTGCCCCTCACCCCCCTGGTTAGACAGACCCTGTGGAAGCCTCCAGTCCCCTGCCCCCAGACCCGCCCTGCCTGTCCTGTTGTGCCTGGGGCTCCTGTCCCACTTGGCCCTATGTGCCAGCGGGCTTTGCCTGGCAGGGACATGGGCTGACATTGGGAATGCTGATGCCATGGGCAGCAGTGCTCCCACTGTCTTCTTCAGCCCCCCTGGAAGGCGTTGCTGCCAGCTGGGGCAGTGTCCCCAGCTGGAGAGCCACCTCTGCCACCAGCACAGGGCAGCAGGGCTGGGGCTGTTCCTGGGGGACTGCTCTTCATCAGCACAGAGCTGCTAATGAGCAGGAGTCATTCTCCAGTGTCCCACGTCCCGTGCAGGAGCCAGGACAGCCCAGTGGGTGACTGCTGCATGGGGAGGAGACAGACTGCACCCAGTGACAGGACACTGTCACTGCTCGCTGGGGCCAGAGCCGATGCAGGATGCTGGGGCCCCTGCATGAGTAGGAGCTGCTGTCACAGATGAACCCAGCTCCCTCTCTGCAGCTCTGGGCCTCCGTGGGACATGAGTGTTGTACCAGTGAGGGCTGGGCAAGGCTGCTGTCAACCCAGAGCTGCTGGGAGGGGGACAGACGTGTGTGACATGCACGCTGAACGCTGGCAGGCTGCAGAGGTTATTTGGAGGTCTGGGTTTGGTCACCAGCAGCCACAGGGCACTTCTGCCTGGGGATGTGCTGCACCCCACGCCACCCTAGATGATCCTTGTGGCAGTTTCCCGCTCCCTCATGGCAGTGACGAGCAGGTGGGGAGCTGGGTCATTTGGTAGGAAGACCCTGTGGACCTTGCCCAAGCTCCAGTTTTCCTGAGCCTGTGATATGCGGAGAACTGTCCCTTCTGCAGCCCTAGGAAGCGAGGGGCAGGTATGGGGAGCGGTGCTGTGACACGTTCTCTCTGCTCTCTCTGCTGCTGATGCCCTCAAGGATGCTCCACTGGAAGGCTCAGCTGAAGAGATGTGGAAATGGGGTGGCCTGGGGCTGCTGGCCAGATCCTCTTGTTCCTTCATGTGCAGGGGACAGCCTCACCATCCTGCACAGTTGCAGGACTTTGCAGTGGCTCTGGGCACTGGTTTTTGGGTTTTGGGTACCCAAAAGCAGTACAAAAACCTGACAGAGTGTAGCTACTGAGTATGAAAACCTGATGGAGACACCTCTGGCCAGCTCTGCACTTTGCCTACAGGGCGTGCTGAGGAAATGGTCCACCGGGGCCACTGGATAGCAGCATCCCATGGGTACTGCTGGCTCCTCAGCCTTCATCCCTCTTGCCCAAGTTGCTTGGTCCTGCTGAGGCTGGCACAGTCCTGCAGCCAGAGCTGAACTACTGGCTGGGCTGTTCCAGCCTGGCCTCTCTGTCTATCCCTAGATGTGACCCATGCCCTGTGCCCACCGAAGAGCTGGCGAGGGGACATGCCTGAGAGAGTTGTGTGCGCGGAGGCATCCCAAGGCACT